TCTTCACTCACCGGGATGCTCTGTAATCTCCTAGCCAGGCTCCCAGACCAAAATCTCACCCCTATAGCCTGATGTCCACGCTGCTGCTGGCATGATCTTTCTCAAACATGCATCACATCACTGTGGTCACCTCTCCCTTCTCGCTTCCCCACAAGCGCCCAATACCCCAGAAGTATCACATCTCTGGGGACTCACATGCGATCCGCACCCCTGAGGCTTTGCACACATTTCCTCGACCTGGGATGCTGTGTCCCTGGCAGGGGGGAAAGAGGGTCCTCCCCCACTCCCAGAGCCACGGCTCTCTGTTGCCTTCCCTAACCTCACACCCTCTATCTAGCATGCATGTCACATTTCATCCACAGTCAGGTGCACATTCATCCATCTCCTCTGCGAATCTGTGTTCTCTTTATCCTCGGCACCTACGCAGCACCTAACCCAAGACAAGTGCTCAATAAATGTCCGCTGGAGGAAGGAGAAGTCCAGAAACCCGGGGGCGGCGGTGGGGGGGTGGTGGCACCATGTCCCAGAACACTGCCTTAAAGGGGCTTGGCTCTGATCTGCAAAGTGAACGCAGCGTCCCACCCACAGGGGACTTTGCGTTCATCCTTGGAAGAAAGGAGCTATAGACATGTGACGTGTCCCTGGGATTCTTGTCTTAGCCACCCCCAGGCTCTCTGCCATACTCCTCCTCTGCTCCCCGCTTTTCCACCTTCTCTGAATGCCAAGATATTTGCATCCCAATAGAATAGAAGTCCTCTCCTCCGCAATCCTCTTCAGGCTCTGCTTCCCCTGGGGATCCTATTCAGAACTTGCTGCTCAGGAAGAGGGACACGAGTGTGAGTGCGTGCACATGGGTACACACGGTCACATTTCTTTAGCACTCAGAGGGCACGCCTTGGCTAGCCACGCCTGTGTCCCTTGTATGCCCTTGCATCTGTGTGCCTTGAGGGTGACCCTGTGTGGTTCTACCGTAAAGTTTCCAAAGGCCTGTTTTTGGTGGTCATGCGGCAGGCCAAGGTGGAGAAAGCAGAGGGGAATGAATGACAGGTTTTGTAACAGGGCATATGACTGTCTCCGTGGCACTGCCACACCTCCCCTTTGGCCCCCTCATCTGCTGCCTGGCTCCTCGCCCACCTGCATACAAGCTGGGAGACGGCGCTCAGCGGGGTTCCTGGCAGCCATTGTGTGTGTGTGTGTGTGTGTCCCTGTGCGTACAGGGAGTGTACAGGGAGCAAAATGGCCCCATAGCTGACATTAAAATTAATTACCATGAGCCATCAGAGATCCCTTGAGCAGCCTTATTAACTAATTAACTACGACTATTCGGCACATCCTCCTTCCTCTTTCCGCGAGCACTCTCCTCTCCACAGCACTTCCTGCTGAGCGCAGCGCCTTCAGATCCTTCCCCTGGGCAAAAACTTTCAAGGGCTCCCCATTGTCTATGAAATGCAGAAGGACCCAGCGAAGTCTCCAGGCCCTGCCTGACTGGGGCCTTCAAGCTTCCCACCCACATCCACGTCCTTCCTACTCCAGCCCAATAGGCCATCTGTGGCTTTGGAGGCAGGACCAGCCAGCACCTCCACCCCTGCCTTCCCTCAGGCCATCCCCTCCATCCCCCAAGATGCTTCTCTCCTCCTCTCCCGACCTTGTGGCCTCAGCCCCCAGGTCCGTTTCCAACACCCGCTTTTCCATGGAGCTGCCCACAGGCCTGCCTGTCCTCTCCCTTGACCCATCTGTGCCCTTTAGGACCCTCTCTCTGTCCCACCTCACATTCTTGCTGTGTAATTACTTGGGCCTTTAGTGTAGTCTTTCTGAAATATGGACTCCGTGGGGGAGAGAGTGAGGTGTTCTATCTGCATCCCTGGCACTCCTGGCACTCAGTAGCTGCTCTGCAAATATTTGCAGAAACGAACTGCCAAATGGAGGCACACATTTTTAAGGGCTGATGATTCTTCTGGAAAGAAGGAGGGTCCCTGTTATGAAGCCTAGGTCTCCAGGGGCCTCTGACCCCCTGTTTTTAGGAAGCCTCCCCAGTTCTTTAGGGTTGCGTGAGAGGCATCAGTTACCTGATGACACGGAGTCTCCTATGTCCCTTTGACAGATGGCCTTTGTTTTAAAGCCCAGGATGCGCCGGCCTGTCTGGCTGCACCTCCAGGGCCAGGGCCGGGGCTCGAAGGGAAAGGGCTCCCCTCTCCTGACCTGGACTGCACCTCTCTCACCCAGGAGGTGAGGTCTCAGGTCTGAAGTGGCCGACAGGAGGTGGGCGTGTGCTAGCGGCAGTTTGTCCTGGCTCATACTGGCTGAAGAGAGCCGATGATTACATGTCTAGGATTTTTTTTTGAGCTGTTGTTAAACAAGCCAGTCTTTAATGTTAAATTAAAAAAAAAAACAAAAAAACTTTAATTATATAAAGTCACAGTGAGAGAAATCATATTGAAAACCAAGGTAATAAACACGTGTACTCATCACCACCTAATCATATCGTGTTTCACTACGGTCTGTGTTCATGAGGTTAGCTGTGTCTCCTGCGTCCATAGCGGGGAGTCAGTGTGTGTGCTGCTTGGGGTTCTCTCCCCAGCTCTGCAGTGTGACACCATTTTGGTGGCCTGAAATCAGCCATGGTGGGAGCGTCTATACCCCAGATAGTAGATGAATGCTATAAATCAAGACACCCCCCTCTCTGCCCTCAGAGAGCTGGTTGTCAAACATTTACCAGCAGATCTATTGTGTGGGGGGTCTTGGGAAGTGGATACAGCCACCTTGTGGGGCCACCTGCCTGACAAGGGCCACCCTCCTGAGAGTGGAATGCACTGATTTTAGGGTCCTGGGGCCCAGGCCCAGCTCAGCAGCAGATAAGGGCATAGTTGCTCTAGGAAAATGTAGGGAAGTGTGTATGGGGGGGTGCAAGTCCCCCACTCTTGCTGCCGGCTCCACCAGGGACATCAGGGGCAGGGGTAGCCTGGCCATGAACGCATGGTGGCAGGTCAAGTGTTTGGACTATGAGCCTGGCAAGGGGTGCTGGGAGGCAGAGAGGAGGAGGATGGATACCACTTAGATCTGACCTGCAAGCAAGAGGCGCGGAGCCCCACTGAGCCTGGCCTCATCCCTTAAAAAGCCTTACAGTCCCAGGGACTAGGACCCAAGCATCCTCTGCTCACACAGGTCAGAGAGTGGCAAGATGCCCGAGGGCGGTGCGACCCAGAGTGGCAAGGGACCAGACAGAGCACCCTGGCCAACTACTCTGAAGACCAGCATCCTATTTTCCTTGGTGCCCAGAATCAGGCCTTGAATGCTGCAGGGATCTAATTAATGATATTAGATAGCAATGGAGGGATTCAGAGGAGCCTGGGTGCTGAAGTCCCAAAGACCGGGCTGGGTAACTTGCTGGATGACCCTAGACAAGCTGCTTATTTCTCATCTGGGTTGTTGCAAAGGTTTTTTTTTTTTTTTTTTTTTTTTACAGAAAGTTTGTAAAGAGCCCAGCACAGTGCCTGGCACACAGTAGGTGCTCATACCTGGGGGCTCCCGATGTCACGACAAGGCATCAGGGACCTGGTTCCAGTCCAGCTCTTCCAACACCAGCCTGGGGCTCATGCAAGTCTCCCTCACCCCCGGTCCCAGACCTCAGTCCTCACATCTGGAACAGAAGAGGGCTGGGCTACATGATCTCCAAGGTCTTTACCACTGAGAATATTCTCTGCCCTATGAATCAAACTGGTAAGGGGGGTGATCTGAGTGTCAGAAGAGACTGGCTCTCCTTAAAACCCCACGATTAATGTTTGAAAAGACACAAAAATGCTAATTATCCAAGTGTGGTGGAGAATCTTGGATTCTTTCATTAAGTTAACAAAATTGCCAATGAGGTAGCATTTAGAAACATAAGAGAACTCCACTCATTCCTCATTGATGGGGATCTTTAGGGAGAGCATACCTCCCCCCAGAAAGATCCATGCCAAAAAAGCCACAGATACAGGCTCAGCTACTAAGACTAGTCCAGTTCATGCTTGGAGGCTTCCTTATGATTCACTCATTACCACAATTTCTAAATCAATCACAGGACAAGGTGTTCAATGGAACTGCAGCCAAGTGGTGTGGCTAGAGAGGGAACCTAGGTCGTTTCTGAAATAAACAACTTCCCCTGGCAGAGTAGAACATCATTTTGGGGGTGGGGTTAAGGTTCCAACCAGGGACAGTGGGGAGCTTAAGAAAAAAATAGAGTTGTGTATAAAATGAAACCTCCTGATGAACACCCAGAATGTGGTGGAAACACCACTATCCAAGGCTGCAAACCTTTGAACTAGACCTTCTGTATTTACATCACAATGAGAACCCATCAAGGGCAGCCCCCTGCTTACCACAATACCTGGCGCATTTCCAGCACTCAACATGTCTATCAGAGGAATGTCCAAATGAATAAAAAAATTAATGGGAAAATCCAAAGCCAACTTTTCTAACACACCTGGCTGGATGGCAGGCGTGCCTCAGAACCCAGTCCCTGCCAGTGTTGGCTGGTGGGAGAAAGAACACAGTCTTTCACCGCAGAAGAAGAAGTTGGGAGTGGAAATCTCAGACACTTTAACAGAAAGGGTCAAAGAATGGAAGGGACAGTTAGACTTGCATCTCGGCTGTTTGGAGCTTGGAAACAGCCAGAGAAAGGAAAGGTAGGTTTGACCCTGCATCTGAAAATGCTAAAAGCAAGGCATATCTGGGGACCCGCAAGCCTTCAAAGCCAGCGTTGTGTGAGGATTAAGTCAGATCAGTGGGAGAAGTGACCACAAAGTCCAGCAGACAGTGTAGGTTACGAAGCACTAACTACTACTGCCTGTGCAACCTGGCCAGATTCTTCGAGCCCACCCAGGCGCCCACGCGGTCTCCTTTGTGCCTTCATCCAACAAATACTACTGTTGCGTGAATCCTAGGTGCGCCTGCACTGGGCTGGGACCCCGAAAGCCAGCACCCCCCCCCAGCCCCCTCCCGCTCCCCACGCTGTCACTCCTGCCCAGGCGTCTCCAAACCCAGCTCACCACGTGGCTCCCTCTCCTCCCCCTGCCCTGCGCCCCAGGCTGGGTGTGCTCCGCGCTCCCTGGTGACTGACTTCCCATGGAGGAGGATGTGGAGAGAGCCCCTGTCCGTGCCAGTCACCTTCTGCTCTGAGCACGCAACCCATCCCGGGAAGATCACCCAGCCAGGCGAACTACTGGAGCCCCGGTTCCTTCAAACCCCAAAGGCGCAGGTGGGGAGTATTCAGCTTCTAGCGGGAGGAGGGCTTTGGGGGGTGGGGGTGACGCTCCGACAGACTGGTTCAGGCATGTTCTGGGGTTGGGGGGCGGGGTGGGGGCGGTGGCCTTACCCGGGCATGAGGCCAGGGGGCACGTAGGCGGCATTGAACTCCGTCAGCAGGGTGCCAGAGCTGCGGGAGGCCATGGTGTGCGCCTCAAGCGCTAGCGCATCGAGCCGGGCACAGGGCGCTCCCTGCCGGACGGTAAACAGCCCCGGGTCCCCTGGCAACCGCGCGCCTGGCAACGCGACCTCTGACGGGGCCAAGACGCAGCCGCAGCTTTGGGCGGTCAGGGGAGAGGGACCCAGCCCTATTTGTGCATGCTCCCCTCGGAAACCTCCGCTCCCTCCAACTTCAGCTTTCACGTCCAGAAATGGGCTCCTCTCTCTGCTTCGCCACCAGACGGGATGTGGTGACGCTCAGATGCGGGATGGGCGTGGAAACCCCGTGGACAGGCCCGTCCCGGATGCGCCCTAAGTGCCCTTCTCCCCGCCGCAGGACTCGCTGACCTGGCCTGGCGCGCCCTCGCTTTGGAGGCAGAGCAGAAAGCGGCAGCCCCACCGTGGCTGTGCTCCAGGGACCCCAGGAGCCAGCGCCCCCCGAGTCTGCCCGCGCGCCCCAGTTCCTCAAGGGGAGTTGTCTTCATTAATCTCTCCTCTCTCCCTGGGAGCCTCCTTCTCACCTCATCTTGCCCATCAAACTACTCTGCACGCAAGGGTGATTTATAAGGAAGGGGCAAGAAGCAAATCGTGGAAAGGTCTGGATGTGTGATTTACACCTGTTCCCGGACCAAAGTTCCATTGGCGTATTTGCACCGCAGAGCAAACTTGCCAAAGGCCTGGTGAGGTTTTCTTGTGATAATACCCCGCTCTTGTAGCTGGTGCCCCCAGGTCCCATTTCCCCAGAGATCGTCACCCCGCTTATCTTTCACTGGGGCATGAGAGAGCTGTGACAGCCTCCAAGGTGACTTGCTCTGCGACTTGGCGCCAGACCTGCCTCCCCAGCTACCGTTGCAGCAGCCCTGGGATGAGCAAGAATCCTCTGCAGTTTACCCTTGGCCTTCACAGTTCCATTCAATCCTGTGCAATAAGTGTTATCTTCATAGTTGATTCTGTAAACGGCCGCTGATGAAGGCCATGGTCACTAATGAACTTGCAGGATCTTTTGCACCAGGAATTCTCAAAAGGCTTTCTCTGGCAGATAATAATGGAATTGGGGGAGAAGGGGTGCACAGCCTCCCAAGAAGTGCAAGAAGCAGGAAAACCGTGGCCTGGGGAGGAAAAGGAACTGAAGGGAAGTGAGTGCTTGTAACCAGGTAGAACTCTCCATCCATCCTTCAGAATGCAGTCAGATCTGTGTATTTCTAAACTCCCCATGCAGAATAGGAGTGATAATAAGAAAGACATTTGTAAAAGTTATAACAGAAACAACCCTCAGTTCAGGGGTGCTATACTCCAAGAAGGCATTCCGTTGGCCAAGGTCAAGTGCCCACTGCCTCCCCCATTTTAATTTGCCAGCTGACTGTGCCCATGAACCTGGCACTCTGTTGTCTGTGTTCCAGTCTGTCTCTTCTGCTTGAGGTCCAGTACTGTGTCACATTCGCCCCTGAATCTCCAGTACCTGGTACGAAGGAGTTAGTGTATGCTTGTTGAATAAATTTTATAGTAAGAGTTACAGAAATGGATAATAGCTGGGAAAGAGGAAATGAAAAAGTAAGATCCAGCCTAGGTTTCAGAAAGGTCAGCTTGCTCAGCTCGGGGGGGTGCCATGTGTTGGCAGGATTGGATTACCACCATTTTATCCATATAGAAACTGAGGTGGGGCTGAGCTCAATGCCTTCTTTAGGGCAAGTTCATGGGCTTTTCCCTAAAGATGCACAGACCTCATGAAATTTACCCCTACAGGAGACAACCACCAAAGGACCTAAGGAGGAGATGGATCTATTTTTCCTTATCAAATGCCACCAAGCCTTATGAACAAAGGTCACTTAACAACCTTATTTATAGAACATGCTTGTTAATTTTGTGGTTTTTAAAAAATGTTTTATTTATTTTTGAGAGAGAGAGAGAGTGCAAGCGGGGCAGGGGCAGAGAGAGAGGGGGAGACACAGAATCCGAAGCAGGCTCCAAGTTCTGAGCTGTCAGCACAGAGCCCAATGTGGAGCTTGAACTCATGAACTGTGAGCACATGACCCAAGCCGAAGTCAGTTGCTTAACCTACTGAGCCACCCAGGTGCCCCAGGTTTTTTGTTTGTTTGTTTGTTTTTTAGAGAGAGACATTAAACTTGTCTGGTGTTTTAAATTTTTGGACATTCATTTGTATTCAATAAATACAATATGCTAAAATATCCTTTGCTCCAATGTGGTTCGATAAAAGTGAGAAAGAAGAGCAGGAACTAGAGAAGGAAAGAGAGACATGAAAATAGAACATAAATTTCAAAAGAAAAAGGAGGCAATGTAGCAAGGAAACATCTAGAAGGAGGCTCTTGGGACGTGCTGCAGGTCACTGGACTGCAGAATTCAAACGGAGTAACCTCTGATTAGCGTGCTGTGAACATTTAATATTTCCTCTTTGAAACTTTACCTCCCTATGGGTCACCAAGCTCACCCCTTATCCAGTCAACCTTTACTGGGCATCCTCCTATACACAGGACCCTGTGCGAGGCGCTGGGGATGCAAAGACACAGGGCACCAGGGTCTCCCCGTGGTGAGAACGAAGCAGTGAGAGGAGAGGCCTGGGGGCAGCAGGCCAGGACCCCACCCCAGCCTGGGTGGAGGTGTGGGTGCAAAGGCACTTTCAGGAATGGGTACCTGAGTCCCTGCAAGAAGGCAGTGATGGGTGCCTTATAGAGCAAACAGCAAGAGTGAGGGTGCGGATGGCCCTGCAAAAGATCGGGGTTCGGGGACCCTGGGGACCAGGGTCCCTTTCTCTATAAGCACCTCCCGGGGTACGTTGCTGGAAGAGAGGGCAGTTCTTTTTTGGTCATAAGAAATTCTGCCAGATGTCCCTTCCCCACTGCCCCCCAGCCCCAGCAGCTAATTGGGTACAAGGCCCAACAGCGAGGCTCACTGGCCCGGCCTCCTCCATCCCCAGGCCCCAGGATGGGGCTGGGTTAGTGCTTGAACCTTAAGCATGGCCCTTGGTAGAAAATAAGGCTCTGAGGCTTTCACAGCTGCTTAGCCTGGCTCCTGAGCCCCCACCTTCCCAGATCCAGGGATCCCAAAGCAGGAGGTCAGGGACCCTACCTCTTGGGGACACAATCCCTATGAGTGCAGGTAGAGGCAGAACATTCCCTTTTTTCTCTTAGGACTCTCATGTCTGACAGCAGCCACCAGGTACAGCCTGAATATTGTCTGATAGATGCTGATGTTCCAGCTGGGGGACCCTGGGCTGGGATGTCTACACGGCACAGTGTGACCCAGCCAGGCCTGGCCCATCCAGGCTCCCCAAGCCTCACAGGCACCAGCACCCCTGGTGGCTGACTTGACTGGGGGGCACGAATCCCCACAAAACACCTGTGCAGCAGCCCGGCTTCCTGTGCACACAGCCGGTGAAGCTCCTTCTGCCCCCGCAGGGGGAGGTGCCCCTGGCCGCACGCCCACCCCTTCCACACACACACGCCCATCCATGCCCACCTGCCCACTCCTGGAGGCAGAGCTTGCCTAGCAGGGCACCAGCAGAGCCCTGCGGAGAGCGGGGCCGGAGCCTCTGCTCCGGGAGCTGGGAAAAGACATCTGAAGCTGGGCAGGGTTGTATCTGGGAGCCGGAGGCTGCTGAATAATGAATTCTGACTCGGAGCCTGCACTCCCAGGCTGCACAACTCACACACACACACACACACACACAGACACACACACACACACACACACACGCTGGGCTGACAACTTGGGGGGGCGGGGGCTGGCAGGGCTGTGAGTCTCTCTGAATCGCTGGAAGGAGCAGCTCTCGGCTTGGTTGCCTTGGTCTCTGCGGGCAGCATCAGAGGGGCTGCGGGAGGAGGAGGCAGCGGCGGCGGCGAGGGAGGGAGGAGGCTCGCTCCTTCTCCAGCTGCTCCCGCCTGGCAGCGTCCGGGCTCTACACACCAGCATGGCCCTGCTTGTCCACCTCAAGAGGGTTTCGGAGCTTCGGGGCAAGGGCGACCGGATCGCCAAAGTGACTTTCCGAGGTAGGGAACGCCCTCATCTTAGAAGGACCCCAGCTCTGGGCTGATGGGGAGAAGACAGGGCAGGCGGGGTGGATGGGAAAAGTTCTAGGAGGGTTGAGGTGATAAGGCTCTTCACGGGCAGCTATCTGCTCCTGGCCTGACTGGCCGTTGTGATTTCCTGAAAAACAGGGTCCCCTGTGTTTCCACGCCTGCGTCTGTGTCTGGCTTTCCCTGCACTTGCCAATATGGAATGTGCCTGGCAGGGGGCAGGGTCCTCTGCCTGCAGGGGTGTCCTGGGGAGGGAGAAGTAGGACCCCATCTTTGAGCTCAGGGGGGCCCTGCAGAGCCCATGTGGGCCCGTTCCTCCTCTCCCTCTCCCCACAGAAGGTTTCCCTGGGCACAGGGTGGGGGTGGGCTCTGCAGACTGGAAGACCCAGCATGGCTCCTAGAAACCAGGCAGCCAGCAGCTCTCTGGTTGAGGCTACTATTGGCTTCTTGCGGATCTGTTGGTGGACAGGGATCCTGCGAGCCTCACTGGCTTCCTCTGTTCATTCTCTTCCTATCCTCCTCCCTACTCGTGCATCCAGCAACCATTTACTGTGGTCTGTGTGCCAAGGCTGGGGGCTGAGCTTGACCCAGGCCCTGCCCTTGAGGAGTCCACATTCAGTGGGAAAGAAGGACCAGTGGGCAGTCAAGGAGGACAGGTGTGTGATATGATGAGGAAGTGCAGCACGCAAGCCACAGGGGCAGCACCCCGACCCAGGCTGGGGCAGGATGGTCGAAGAAGGCTTCCTGGAAGAGGTAGCCCCTCGGGTTACCTCCTGGTTACCACCAGGAGGGAACAAGGTGGGGAGGTGAGGGCAAAGCAGGTGCAGGGGACAGGATGCTCATGGCTGGGAGGGGAACTAGAACATGGCTGGGAGGGGAGAGACCAAGGACCCATGAGGCTGGAGCCCAGACTGAGTGCAGAAGCTGAGGCAGGAGAGCCCGGCAGGAGCAAGGAGGCAAGGCTGCCTTCACCCTGAGGACGGCGGGCAGCCCCTGAAGGTTTAAGCAGAAAAAGTAAGGCCAAGGTTACCTGTGCTTATTGCCCACCCACCTCTGCTGCTGCCTGGCCACAGCCCAGCCCTGTGGGCTGGGGCTTCTCTGGTAGCCTTTGGCCAGAGGCCAGAGCACTGCTCACTAGCCACGGCCCTTCCCCCCAGAGACGAGGTGAGAATGGGGGTGGGACAGGAGCCCAGAGAACCCACCAGATTAAAGAGCAGAGTGAGCACCGGGGCCCAGTCTGGACGCACACCTGGGTTAGGAGGGATAGGGGTGACCAGGGCCAGCAGCCCCAGGGCTCACATCACCCTTGAGCTGGACTGGCTCTGGCAGGAGGCCCAGGTTGTCCACTCTACTGCCTGCTATGCACAGACTCAGGAGGGGTGCAGGGGACCGGACCGCAGTGTCCCTGCTGGCAGGTGGGAGAGGAAGGGGCGGGCAGGCTGCCTGTTGCTTCCCACACCAGCCCGAAGACGGCTTTGTCTGCAACACCCTGGATCTCTGGGTGCCACCTGCTGGCTTTAGAAAATGCGAGTGTGTCCTTTCATCTGTGAAACGTGTCTCTGTGTCCACAGACAGCACAGTGTTTGGCTGTCTAGCTACAGATGGTGATGCCATTGGGCCGTGTCAGGACAGCCCCAGGCTGCACAAACCGGTCCCATCGGTGGGCAGGGACACCAAGACCCAGTTGTAAAGGGACCCTGCACCACATCACTGGAGAGGCTGACACTCAGAACCTCACCCCCCACCTGGTTGCTCAATCCTGCAAGCCCCTCTATCTCCTCCTGGCCCATGGGGGTGAGCCGCCTATCTATCTGACGCCCACCTTCTTCTCTGAGCGGTAGGGTGGGCCCTCTAGCCTCAACCGACCACACAGGAACTTGCCCCTTTGCAACCGGTGCCCTCTGGGCTGAGGGGAGAAATCCACATTCAAGCTCTGTACCTGCAGAGACAGAGCCCTGGGGAAGGAGTTGGGCAGCAGGAATAGGCAGATGGCCAGCAGATTTCCAGAAAGAGTCCTTTGTAACAACCAGCTATGTCTCAGCCATTTGTCTGCTGCATCCAGCAGTTGACAACCACAGATACTTCAAAAGACCAACACTAACAAGAGTTCAGAGGAACCCGCCCAATCTAGAATGCTCCACAGCACCTCCTGGCATACACAGCCTCTGGTGTCCCAAGTAGACAGCTGCAGGGGAAAATGAGAAACTAGAGAACAGTCACAGGGAGATGCTGGCCCCCAGTCCCCCTAATCCCTTGAGTGAAGCTCAAAGATTAGGCGAGGGAGCCCTGGAGAATTGTGTCCATTAGCAGCGGCCCAGGTAGACCAGATGACCTGGCTGAACTATAGCTTGACCTTCTGTGCTGTACCACCCAGGACGCTTAGGAAAGAGCCCTATGGGGCTATGGCAGAGAAAGCTCTAGATATGGAATCAGAAGCCCTTGGTCGTACCAAGTTCTGCCACTCACTTCGCCTCTTTAATCCTTAGTTTCCTCATCTTAAAAATGGGCATGTTGATGATATCCACCTCACCAAGTCGCTTCAGGGAAACAATAGATGTTGGAAGAGTTTAAGGAAGGAGCATTCAGACGACTGATATGTCTGTGAGGCGCCCATTCGAGTGCTGCTTGGAGCAGCTACAGGCTCCTGAGTGGTCTTTTCTCTGGCCCGATTTCCTTCTTCTGTTGGGCAGGAGCAGGAGACAGGGCACACGTGAGCTACAAAGAGGAGATGCAAGCACATCTGAGGGCTTCTCGACCTGTGCCAGGAGCAAGTAAATTGGGCCTGGCCTCTGCT